AAAAAAGAGAGGATGCCGCGGCGCGCGAGTTGGCGCGCGCGCGCGTGCAATATACATATATATATATAAATATAAATATAAATATGAATATAAATATAAATATAAATATAAAAAAATTATAATTATTATACGCGTGCACACGTTCGCACCCGGGAAGAACGTTTCCCTCTGGGGCTCTCGAGGTTTTTAGGCGTGTGTAATAAAAGCGACGAGGAGAACCGTGTTAAAGAATTTTTTTCGAGGACGGCCGAAAGAACGAAACGACGTCACGAGATAAAAGAGGACCCGACGCGCGCGAATGCAAGGGCAGTAGTCGGGGGATTAGGAGGAGGATGATGATGACGAGGGCGCTAGGCAGAGCCAAGAATGGCTTCTCGCCCTTTTTCTTTGTTTCTTGCGCTCGTGCGCACGCGCTCGAGTCCGCCACTTCTGAAAAAACATGCCTCTTTTGCCGACTGAATGCCGGAACGTTATATCTTCTCTCGCCCCGGCGTCGTCGAACACACCCTCTCTCTCTCCCCACCTCCACCCTCCACCCCCCTTTTTTCCCGGGTGTGCAACGAGGAAGAAAGAAAACAAAAAAAATGGGAAGAACGAAAGAATACCACACGAATGAAGCAAGTATATAGGAAACACGAAGAGTTACGTACATGCATAGGGACACGCGTGTCGCACGGATGACGAAACGCTGTTTAGGATTACTCATCGTACCAAGGGGGGATGAGAAAAGAGAGAACGCGCGCGAGGGCTGAGTACCGAGATCAACCCGATTCGGATTTGCCAGGCTATTGTAGTTAGACAAACAAAGGAGAGAACGAGTGACAGAGCGAAAGAGAGAGAAAGATTGCGAGATAATGTATGTTTGTGCATAAAGAGAGAATGACGCAACACACAGTTTTAATGGGGATGCGTATCGACGGAGTAAGATAGAAGAAATCAGACGTCACGCGCAAAGAACGATGTTTTCTTTTTTTGATAGGTAGACGTTAGACAGTCGCAATATGGCGGCGAAACGGAGAACCCCGAGCCCAGTGCGTTTGTTTGTTACGTCGAAAATCTGGCCTCACACGATATATGTATATCGGGAAACGATGACCGTTGAATTCGATCGGCTGTTCTATAGCTGTCCAATCGATTTACTTGCATTAACCTCTCAGTACATACATCACATATTACCCGTACGCGAATTATTGTATCGATTGATTTACCATAATGGCGTATATGCATGACAACCCCCTATAGTGGTGCCGACGGGAAGCATAAGCGACATTCACCGACACACACGTATTCACGGTAAACAATTGTACACGTAAGATGACCACAGACACACCGATATACGGAATGCACGCAGGTACGCGGTGTACTTGCGTGCACATTCTGAACACGATTGCACCCGCTTTTCACACGAATCCGGTAACTTTTATGAACGAGTCCACCGTGGACACGAAGGTGAGCTGATAACGCAATCGCACACCGCCCGGGGAACGTACTATAACGCAATCCATAACGTTACACGTGAAATAAGATACCATTAAAGAGAAAAAAAAAAAAGAGAATATACATATATACACATTGTATACAGTTATATTGTACCGTTCGTCCGCAATGTACAGAGGCGTTTAGTTGAACGGGCGAGAGAATAATTGCGAATCGCCGGGAATTTAATGCGCTAAAAGCGTCGTTACAAAAACGAAAGCGGAGATTACGAGAAACACGCGAAAAGGGATGACACTTTCATGAAGCGATGAAGAGAGGAAGATTATATGATGATACGTGTATGCTAGAGAGAGAGCAAGTGAGAGTGTGTTCTTAACACTTTAGGATTTATCGAACATGGTCATCCACATGCCATCGCGATTCAGTGTAAAGTATAATCGAGCTAACGCAAGGAAAGACGTAAACGTGAGAGTATGAGATTATTATGTATGTATAGCCTTAATCGAGAAACGACCGGATAACAAAAGAAATCTTGCGTTCCTTCGCGCTTTCAAGTATTCGCTGATCTGTTCGGCAAGGATCGGTAGAAGAGTAAAACAAAGAAACCTCAACGATTAATGCTCCATTCAAATATTCGTGATCGAAATCGAGAGTAATATATTTTCAAGGAAACAGAGAGGTTCGCGAGAACGAATTTTTTATTTTCCTTTCGGTGTTTTCGTCCTGTGCGTGTTGTCATCGTCCTTCCGCGCCATCTATTCGAACTTCCGGTCGAGAGGCTCGGAAGGGTGATGCACGACACGCACAACGAACCTCCCTGCTTCCGGCAGCAGAGTGACCGTCGACGTGCATATAACTCATAATTCTGCGGATTCGATTCGCGCGGTTTTCGTTGGTATCGCCCTTTAACGCTGTTTCTTACCGATACTATTTATCGATGATTATTCAATTTTCGCGATGTGAGTGAGTCAACGAGCGCGATTAATTATAATTACAAAGACCGCGGGATATACGTACGACGATTTATAGTGCGGTTATTATTGTATTCAACAACAGGGTAAACTTTAACAAAACGAAAAAACGAAGAAAAAAACGAGATGACTTGAAATTGGGGCGCGTGTCACGTCGAACGGCGGCCATTTTGTTTGTCTGTACGCGGGTGTGCGTGCGCGCAATGGGTGAAAACCGAAAACGCAAAAAAAAAAAAGTAAGAATCTAATAAAAAGTTAAATAAACGAACGAGTCAATTGTCACGAACGTTAGCAATACTTCTTCACAAAAACGATGAAACGGCAAATAATGAATGAAAATACGAAAAACGTAACGAGGGGAATAATAAATGTACACTATGTCGCGGGTATTTGTATTCTTAAGTCGGTGACGCGTACGCGTGACGGGTGATCTCGCTTGTCCTTCGAAAAATGGATGGTTAAGCATCCCCCCGCGAAGAGGGATGATGGAATGAGAACGAATGGAAGGAAACTGCAATCGCGTGTGCCTACAACGCTGCAATGCCGACTTCTAGCATGTGAAACAAAATGGTAGCTGCTTCGTTACGCCCCTCGGACTAATGATAAAAAGCGTGTAAAGAAAGTATATGTATTTGAACCAAACGTGGTATCCAGGGAGAACAGATTAAGGGAAAGGAAAGATCGGATAAAAAGTATAGAGCGATAAAAGAATAAGAACTTTATCGGTGGAGTAGAGAAGTGGATACTGCATAGACAAGTGCAAGAAATTGAACAAAGTGACGAGCGTTTTGTTAACGTCGCCGGACTTCGAACTGTTACGTTGACCGATTTTACGGTTCTTTTCCAAAAATTTGTTCAAAATTTTTATGGATACTGGAGAAAAACGGAATTTCATCGAGGAGATGAGGAAAAAGGCATACACTTAATTGTCGTTGCAGTTTTAACGATACGTTTTTTTTTTATATCTTCACTCTATTATGACGTCTGTTAAGCATAAAAATGTGTTGAATCGATTTTTCAGTAAATCATGATAACACTAGGAATGGTGGACTTCACGAGTGAATAAAATACGAAAAACATATATATACCGGAACAAACAACACCTAGAGTTTAAAAGGAACGCAAAATATAATGAGATTCGTCGATGTAAGGGTGGCTTACGCGCAAGATCGTAGTAGAATGGCAAAATAGGAAATCAAAGAGAATACACAAACGAAGAGAACAGTGAAAGCAGTCATAATTAAGTGTACAAGTTGTAACTTCTCGCAGTTAGGGGTGAAAGATGAGGCGAAAGGGGTTTGGGTTCCTGGCAACTGATGTCATTTCAGCGTTACATCTTAAATCACTCAAGGAACAAATTTATTAATGATGTGATTTATTCCAAATGAATTTTTTTGAAAGCTCTACTGTATCTATAACTTTTCAATCAATTTATTGTGTAGATAGCAAACGATTGTGATACAAAATTACTGTCTTTAGAAAGTTACATATGATTTACATATATATTTTTAACTATTTGTGATGATTCGTTTCGTTTTTACGATAAACGGAATCAAATCCAAGAAACAGGAGCCCAGGCGGCTTTCGATAAGAATCCTCTGAAAGAGAATTATTATATATAAATATATAAATATATAAATATATACATATTCGAAAGAGATCTACTATCAATTATTAATTAGAAGAACTAAACAAAGAGAATGTGATGGATATACAAGGAAGCCGATGCGAAAGGGCGATCGAGGAAAACAAAAAGAATAAGAGAAGATACGGAGAGCAAGGTGTAAAAAAAAAACGAAGCAAGAGCAAAACAAAGAAATATCTGTGAGTACAGACCACGCGTTTATATTTATAAATATGAAATACATTAACATTGAAATATTACGTCTATATCTACATCTAGTATATATATGTATATGTATATATATATATATATATGGTGGAATTATATTTTATTCATTATATATATACATATATACATACATAATGAACGATTAAGAAGGACAAGAAAACATATTATGTCCATATTACAGACGATTAAGGCGACAAACAAAGCAAAAGATATGAGGATTCTGAAGATGAACAGATATATTGAGACATTGTTTTATGCATTTGTATATATAATAGTTATTGATGTTTTTAAAAAAAAAGCGAATTATACTATTGTACCGAAGAAACTTTCGATCACCACCAACCGTGAGAGAAGAGCCGAGCGGGGGTGTAACAGAGGTGGTAAAGGGTAGATCAAGGGTTGGGCACAGAGAGGAGGAAAGCAAGAGGAAAAGAGATACGTCCAAGGCGAACTCGTTGTACGATGCAGTCCGAATCTCCTATTTTGCGATGGTTCTAAAAAACAAGGAAAAAAATCAGAATCAGAGAAATTATTCACGGTGCAACAAGTCGAATAGAAACAG